GTGATCTCACCTGTGACACTCCGGCTCGGGCCTGGTGAGCCTTCTTGACGTCGCCCCAGTTTCCGGTGGCCAGAGAGTATTTGAGTCCATCGGAGATGATTCTGGTTTTAATGGCGAGCTCCAGGTTAAAGTCTTTTCCTCTGTCTATGAATTTCTGAGCGTAAATCCTGATCTCCTTCAGCAGGTTCTTAAACATCCTGAAGGACGAGAAAAAAAGAGGTCACAGGTTCTTTATCTCCAGTTAAACCTCATTACATTTCAATGTTTCATCAAATAGATATTCTGTCTATACACATTTACAGTTCTGTCTAAAGTTTCACACATAAAGTGAAGGTTCTTTCAAAATAAAACCATGAATAGTTTTCATTTCTCAGTGAATCTCACAGTTGAGAAGCTGCCTCAGTTCTTCTTCATGTGATCACAAACCGACTCTGCTCAGTGCTCTACTCGTGTATATCAGAGTTTACACTTGATTAATGAAATACAGAATTATAACGTCTGTGTTTAAAACATTTGCCTAGAATATTAGTTAAGTAGTTGGCCCGACTGAACTGTCTGCTGTCATGTCAAAGACGAGCGTCGTAACATGACCAAACACAGTTCATATTTAAGTTGTCTTGGCAACATATTTAATACGTCAGATAATATTGTACTAATGCCATTAAGTATTTATTTGGCTGTTGATATTTTCATTTAATGGATGACACAGGAACTCTGGTGTGTGTGTTGTTAAAGGTAAGATGTGATGAAAGTGAAAAGCCCCCACCCTCTGAACAGAAAAGCCAACAGTGGCCCGGCGAGGTCCAGCCTCTTGTTGCCATAGTGATCTCTGTCGTCCAGCTCCCGTCTGCCGAGAGCAGCGAGCAGCAACCTGTGGACCATGTACCTGAAAACATAGGAATACACACAGTGATACACACATACTACATATCTGTATCTCACCTGGGACTCACCTGTACAGGTGTAGGACTCACCCTAAAAAGTAAGCCTTCTTGGTCTCACAGAAGTCGCTGACTCCGACGTGCGGCAGCATTTCTTTCTGCAGAACTTCTTTTGCATATTTGATTCTTCGTTCTTTTGTCACTCCGGGTTTCGCTCCTCTAGAACCGATGAAGTTCAACGCGACATTCTGCTCCTGGATCACAAACGCTTCGTCCAGAGACGGCTTCACCTGGAAACACCGTGCCATCACAGGTGACATTACTGACTACCTGAAGATTCTCCTCTAGTTTGTTAACTGCCCAATCTCTGAACAAATAAAGTCGCAGTCAATAACTGATCGATGACTAACCATTTCCATCATCTCGGGGTCGTCAAAGTCGTAGATAATGTGTTCCAGGATGTCTCTGTCCGACACGAAGCCCAGAGCTCGAAACACAATGATGATGGGAACTTCCTGTCTGATGTAAGGCAGCGTGGATACGATCCTCTGACCAATCGCACTCTTCTTCACTCCCTGAGTAATACAATCAATGTTTATCAATCAATAATCAACATTTTTGTATGCAGTTGAACGTCAGGACTCACCTGTCCTCCCCTGGCCATCATGCTGACCCAGATGGTGCTGGTGGGACGGGATGAGTTTTCCAAACACGACCTACACTCAGCTGTGTAGGCATACTTCGAGTCCTTCTTGGCGAAGACATAGACTGTGTTGGTGGCCATCTTCTCCTGAGCGATCAGCACCTGAAAAACCAGGACAGTCCAGATCACATCAGACCAGCTCAGGTTGATCTCACTTTCCTGTCCACACAGCCAGCAGCTGTTAGCTTAGCTTAGCATTAAGACTGGAAGCAGGGGGAAACAGCTAGCTTAGCTTATCTTAGCGTAAAGCTGCTGGATGATGTCACATGGTGCACCATTTCAGAGCGTACCTTCTCTGAGCCGTTGATGATGAAATAACCTCCAGGATCTAGTGGACACTCATTGAGCTCGCACAGGTCTCGATCCGTCAGGCCGCTCAGCAGGCAGTAGGTGGAGCGAAGCATGATGGGAATCTTACCGATGAAGGTCTTCTGGTGCTGGGTCTGCAACTGGTCCTCTCCCTCCTTTATTATGGTCTTTGTGATGTCAACATACAAGGGGGCCGAGTACCTGTGGGAGGGGGAGTGACCAGATGAGACCAGGTGAGAATGAAGAGACCTGGTGAGACCAGGTGAGAGTGAGGAGACCTACGTGAGGTTTCTTAGTCGGGCTTCATTGGGCATCATGGGAGAAGGAGCTCCATCTCTCTCCCAGTGTGTGGGCTTCGACAGGTAGATCTGCTCGAATTTCAACAAGTAACGAGGCTGAAACACAAAACAGGTGTCAGAGTGATGCCACAGTGATGTCACCGTACCCTCCCACACTGACCCTGAACACTATTCAAACAACTTCCTAAACACCAGCCAAACCAGGTCCTGATCTAGATGATCCAGGCCTGGGTTCAGGTGTTGCGGCTCACCGGCTCCTCCACCTCCCCTGAGGTGTGCTGGGCTTCAGCCTGCAGGTCGATGGGCGGAGCATCCTCCACAATCCTCTGAACCGACATCTGAATGAACTCATCGAATGAATCCAGCTGCTGCCGCACCAGACCCTTCTCGTCAAAATAAGAGCTGAAAGATAACAGAGAATCTTGTTCATTCTTGGTCAGCCTTTAAACACCACTTTCACCTGGACACAATAGCAGATAATAAATTGATCTGTATTATTGATGTCTTTTCATTTTTTGTGAACGGATGTGTGATGTGTTTGTTTTATTGATCTTTTATTGAATCGGTTATGTGTTGTTAAATCCATTAAGTTTTTACTGGTCCTCTCTGTGCCCAAGTGTGCTGCGTGTCTGTGTCTCCCATCAGCAGAGTCCATTTCACTGAGAGCATGTCTTATTGCTTAATTAATAATCTGTTACAGCCTATATCAATATTATTGATTATTACAAGGATTTTCTCTTCAGTACACTGACACAGGTGTGGTGAGATCTAGGTGAATTTACCTGATGACGATCCAGCAGGCTTCCTGCCACAAATCCGGAGTGATTTCATCCTCATCTTCATCGTATTGATTATCTGACAAAGGAAAATTTGAGATCATTTTACTGATGAATATCTGAGTGATCAATATCAGTGGGCTGACCCTCAGCTCAGAGAATGTTTTTTGGTTTCTGCTGTTTGTTGACACTGAGTATAATTTTACACAATGTGAACAGTAAAGTTTTCACTAACTAACTAACAGCAACACATTAGCTTCACTGTGCTGATCCAGAGACATGTTGATTCTAGCAGCTTTAACTTCTGTTTGCTGATGATATTTCTGGACCTTTACTGCAGTAACACTTTACTTGACGTTGTGTATTTAATACTTTAACGCTGTAGTATTTGTTCTTTTCCTGTAGTATCTGGAACTGAGTACTTCGTTCATTACAGTTTGTGAGTTTCATTATGTGTACTTTAACGTGTGTGTGTGTGTATTTTAATTGATGTGTATTAATAACAGCAGCATCTGATCAGGCTGTTAGCCTGTTAGCTGAAACAAAGTGCCGCGCTGTTAGCTGTTATTAGCATGTTGGTCATTGGTTACTGCTAGCAGATGAAGCTAACGTTAGTGTTTTGGGTGTTACCGATGTTAGCATGTGTTCATCTCTTTTCAGAGGAGAGGCTAACATTAGCAGCTAACCGCTAACCAACAAGAAGCTAATGTTGTGTTGATAAAGTGTAATCAGCCTGGGTGTCGATTAGGTTTAGTGACAGGTTGTGCAGGTAATGGTGGCTCACCTTCGTCCTGATCGTACATGATTTATCTCCGGGAAATATTAAAATTGACTAAATGAACACTCCGATACTACGAAAAGACAAGACCGCGCGTCCCGGAAATGAAATTACGCTTCCGGTTCTCTCTTCTTCTTTTGTGGTGCCGGACACAAAGATAACGCGCTGCTGCCCTCCTCAGTCTGCATCGCGATACTGCAGCCGTTACCTTAACCAGCTGATACCTGAACCAGCTGACACTGTAGATAGGTAAATTGTGTACATAGATAAACACATATATAAATATATGTAAATTAGACGCATTGGGAGAGTTGATCTGTAACATAAATAATTCTGATAATAACTGGTTTCATAAAGCTCGTTATGAACTGGTAATCACTATCTGATGTTTGATGTGTATGTTTTAGTGATCTTTTATTGAATCAGTTATCTGTTGGTAAATCCATGTCAGTCAATGATGATAAGAGAATAATGATTATTGTGTTTATATTTCCTATCACACACCATATACTTTACTGGTGTCATGAAAGTAATCAGAATCTTGAGTTCAACCTTAAGTAAAACAGAGACATCTGCAAGTAAATGATGTAACTACAGCTGATGAAAGTCTGACAAAATAAACATTAAATGAAGAAAAGTTCATGCTGACAGCTGAACTGTGATTCAGTTTGGATCATGAGTTCTTATCAGAGAAAATCTCGAGCAAAGATGAAGAAGCCTTAGGTCATTGATAAAGTCAGTCCTCAAACATTAACACCCCCCCCCCCTTCTTCTACCATGTTTTACTGTATGTGTTGGTGTTTTCCAGATTGTCATTCATATATTTGTCTAAATGTTTTCAGATCATTTCATGTAAAGCATTTAGAACAGTATTAGTATTAATTTAAAGTTTACAATAATTATGATTATAATGTTGTAGGCCAACATTGTGTTTGCTTTGTGTACTTATGATCATGTCTTTGTATTCAGAGCTTGTTTTTCTGCAGTTGTCTTTTTGCTTGCCAACTTTTAATGTCTGTATTCGTGTGTATGTTGTTGTGCAGACTCGTGACAGAGCTGGTTGCTTTTCTGCTGTTGCGTTTGTGTTGGAGTCACTGGATGTTTTTCCTAAGTCAGCGATATGTTGGAGCAGACAGTATTGATCCCGAGATTAAAGCCTGAACAAAGGAAAGCAGACAACAACACAGAGCCCATCCTCTATATGACGACAGAACACCGACGGCAAACATCACAAACACAGAGTGTGTGCACACAGACACATCAGCAGCCAATCAGACGACAGAAAAGATTCAAGCTCCTCTCAGACAGCTTCATTTGATTCTGAGTTTCCAACCAGGATGGTTAGCAGGACTCTTCTCTTCATTTGTGTGGCTGCTTTCTTCTGCGCAGGTAAGACTGGACCAGAACAGGTGTACAAACAGGGTCTGATGTATTTACAGGGTCAGGTGTATTAACACGGTCAGGTGTATTAACAGGGTCTGATCTGACAACAGTGAAAGCAGCTCTTCACTTTTTCAAACTTAGCTTCATTGTGAAATATACATTTTTTAAACCTGTCAGCTCAGTTTGTAATTGTTGATCTTCCTTATCATCAGGCAAAATGAAATAGCTGCTGCAATGTCAAAAGGGCATTTCAAAGTTCTTGCTTTTGCCACTGACAGACTCATTGTTGTTATAAGTCTCTAACAACATTTCAGAAATTATTCCTACAGAGATAGACCTTTTTATTAAAGACTAAGATCATATCTGTTCAACAACTGTTGTATTGCTCTATTCAAAGTCACCAGACACAATTCACAAATATCGTAATTTTACCTCACAGAGGTTACTGTTTACCGCTACCTTGATCAGTTAGTTTGTTTGTGTTGTGTGACCTTCAGTGGTGGCAGAAGTATACAGATCCTTTACTTAACTAAAAGTACCACACAATAACACTAACTAACTAACTGACCGAGGCAGCTGTATTCCAGTAACTCCCATTTTATGCACTTACAAAGTCAGGTGAACAGTCCAGGTCAGACTAAATATAATACACTGGGTAATTAACCTGTTTCACTTAACTGTCTTTTTTAGATGCGGAGGATAAATCCAGCCTCTACAGGAGGGTATGAAACAGACATTTTCTACATGTTTTAGAAACGTATAATGACAGAATTAAAGAAAATGTAACCTAATTGATCTGTTAAACCTATAAATTCATTTTTAATTTCTATCCCCAACGCTTAAGGGAAAACCATAAACCTGTTGGCTTTGATTGTTCTTCCCAACTAAATTAAATTAATTAATTTAAATTTACACAAAGTAACACAATTTCTCTCCAGTGCAGTAATTTCCACACGGTCCCTAATATTTACCAAAGTTACAACATATTTCACTCATGGCAACAAATTAAAACCGTGTTATACACTGGCTCAGTGGTATTTCTTCAGGCAGGTCTAACTGGAAACACTAACACCTCAGATCAGATAAAAACCTCCGACTAAGGATCTCAGACTATGTACAGGCTCATCAGGAACTCAAAGCAGAAATATAGTGAGGAACCGTGAGTAGCCTCAAAGGTGATCAGTAAGATCCCCTCATCCCTGATGGTTAGTCCATCAATAAAGTTTTAAGACAGGTGAAGACACTGCGGCAGTGATGAAACTGTTAACAGATCAAAGTCTTTGCAAAGTTTCTTTGTTTCATGGTTCGTTGTTAAAACTTAAACTCACCGAAATGAACTGCTGCATCTTTAGGCCCAGGACACACTGCCTGTGTTATGTGTGCATGTCACCAAACGCCTTGGTTTTTATTTCAGTGCCTGTGTTAATAGGTTAGTGAAGTCACACAGCCTGGCTGATCACCTGACAGGAAAGAGATGTGTTGATTACATCATAACAGCAACATCACAGAAAACTAACATTTCTCCCTATAGTTTCAATGTCTAGGCTGTATCATAATGACAGGCATGAGGAAATATAAACATCATATTTTTTAACCATTTTAAAAGCTGCATATAGAGACAGTGACGGTCTCATGCATTAAATGAGCTGAGCCTCCGATCCCCTGCGACTAAACCTAGTTATGTTCAGCGTTGGATTGAGATCAGTTTGTCTGACATGTAACTAGGGATGGGTATCGTTAAGAATTTAATGGTACTACTACTTTTAGCGATACCACTTATCGATCCGGTACTTTAACGGTACTGTTATCGATGCTTTTATTGATACTTTTTTGTCATTTTGTAAGAAAAAAACAAAACAAATGAAGAACAAAATTAACATTGCTCATTTTCTCATAGCATAGCTTAACAAACAAAGAACTTGCCCATAAAAATCAGATGACTATTGGTTACTTTTCATCATTAACCCATATTTGTACAATTTAATTTACTGTGTGTGGCTCCAGGCTGCAGCATACACAAGAAACATTACACGACAGATGAACTACAAGCTAGTTGGTCGATAACTGTAAACTGTACATTTTTCCGTTTGTGTGTAACAGACATTTACTGGATGTTTCCAGAGATTGCTCGTGTTTCCGCTCTTACATGCAAAGACTGAACCACACTTGAAAACATTTAGTTCTCACTGCCATTGACACTAAGAGCAGGGTCTGTGTCTCTGTGCTGCACTGTGCTCTGGCAAATGACACAAAGCTGCCCCCGCCCCTCACATAGAGAGAGAGAGAAAGAGGTCTCTCCTCTGGGGTGGGAACAGTGAAAATGCATCATTCATAGATGAATGTCTTCATCAGAAACTGAGTTGGTGAGAGAGAATGTGCAAGAGGGCATTTATGTTGCAATAATAAACAGGAAATCTATTTTCTTAATTTCTCAAGTACTGAAAGCAGAACTGATAACGCCCCCGGTGCCTGTTTAATACCGGGTTCTGGTACCCATCCCTACATGTAACATCTGAGGTTAACTGTTTGGGTCGTTGTTGGGTTTGTTAGCAATTGTATTTATTTTTTCCTGCAGCCCTCCTGTTTGGGGAGGACAGTGACTCCACCGTGTCCTCTGAATTATTCGCCAGTGTGTGGCAGCAATGGCCAGACATACGCAAATGAATGCGCACTGTGTGCCGACAGACTGTGAGTCTACAGTATCATTATCTAACCCTGAGGAAACAACTTACTCTGTTGGTTTCATTTTTTAGAAACCAAGGATGTTTTTAATCTGTTTGATTTGTTTTAGGCTGAAAAAAATGTGTGCTTTTTAGAATAAATTAACAGAAATGTAAATGCACACAGATGGTTAACCAGCAGAGGGTCAACCAACAGAAGGCCAACTGTATCTGCATTACTGTGAAAACTTTTAAAAACCAAACAGCCTTAACCTAGACTCGCTGTCAACTGACACCAGATCAGTAAAGACAAAGATCATTAACAGACTTACTAGGTTGGGGAATATTAAGAAGATATACTGAAGTAAAGCTCTGGATTGTTCTGGATGACTTTAACCCCTGGGTAACATACGCGTTATTCTAGTTTCAGATTTTACTGGCACTAGAGGTTGTATTGTACTAAATAGGCCATAAACCATCTGAAGCACTGTTGCTGTCAGGATGAAAAAAAACTTTTGACCACATGTGTAAAATCTTGAAATAAGATATTTTGTTCCATGATAAAGTTGAGAATATACTGTAATGCTGCCAAAAGCTGCATGTTGTTAGCTGAAAACCTGAAATAAGATGTTTTAGTGCAGAAACATTAAGACTGAAAATATTCATTTGAAATGAGTTCAACAGTCATACTGAGTCAGCACAACACAATCTAACTCAAACTCAAAAGAAGTCAGGCCAATTTGAAATGTAATTATAATGTACTTATAAGTACAGGTTTTATAGTTCATTCCTTGCTGATTGATTATTTCTGTTCAGGGCAGACAATGCTGACATTTTGATTGTGAAGGAGGGACCCTGCTGAGGATGACATCACACTCCTACTTAACTGATGAAATCATCACATGTATCTTTCACTTCTAGTCTGAATGTAGTTGTTAGCTGTTGTAGCACACCCACACATGGCTGCTCATAATTCTAATACATTTATTGTATAATAGTGTGTTTTATATTTTCATATCTCTGTAGAGAATTTTTTTCCTTGAAATGTTTCACCAATAAATATTTTCCTTCTTCTCTGAGGTCAGCTTTGTCACTTTTTAACACAAATATATTTATTGTTAGGGGTTTGGTGGTGGTGGTGGGGACATGTAAATCCATCCTGATCCAGAACAGGGGATATTTCCTTTTAGACCATCTTTCATGAGCTCCTTTTCCAACCTTACCAGGATATTTTCTTGTTAAAATGTCAGTTTTCAGTCATTTGAGATTTAGTTTATCTCCTGTCACTGGGACTACATCTGTCAAACTATAGGACTTTTGTAGTTTTTTAGGTCTGACACTCTTTCTAACTGAAGCAACTGAGGGACTGTGTGAATTGGCACCATGCAATGAGCCTCCAGTTGACCATAGACTGTTGTTAGATGGTAGTGGTCAACAGCTGCTGGGGAATCTGCTAGGCCCAATTCCAGTCCCGTCCCTACACACTCTCACTCAGAGATGGAGTTTAACTCCGTGTGGAGTCACATTCGTGGCTGTGGAGGATCTTTTCATCAAGGAGAAGGGTATAAATACAAAGGCAGACTTTGGAACACCCTCACCTTGCTCTGATGGAAACAGGAAATTCATTGTTACTCAAAATATTTCAGAAAGATATTGTGGTTAAATCAATATTTATCTTAAAGATAATCTTATACACAGCATCGACAAATGTGTAGGTGTGTTGTCAATGACATGGCCTTAATCAAATTCATAGTTAGCTTGTGAAAGAATATTATCAATTGAATAAATATAAATTCACGCCCATGCTTCTTTGACCACATTTCACTTTTACTGAACATGTTTTTGTTTTCCGTCATAGTGTAATTATATCCCTACTTTTTCGACAGTTTAACTTTCAAATATCAAGTCAAAATATAGCTGCAAGCGGCAATTATCTGGGTTCAACTAGCTCGCAAGAATTTAATTACCATATGTAAGAATTCCTATATAATTTTAGATGAAGCAGAACTGAAGCAGGATTATGCCACCTGGGGTTTCAAACCCCTGACCTTCCACAGAGGAGGTGACTTACTGGTTGTGCCACTGGGTTTCTGTTTGATTTTAACACTTAAAACTGACAAAATGTTGTTGTGAAAGTTGTGAGAAAAATCACACATCATTCTAGCCTATTGGCTCCATTGGGAACTGTCAGCCAATCAGAGTGTCTGATTCAGAGGCTTGGCCTGCCTTGGCAATATACCTGCCTAGACTGTATGGGAGCAGTGCTGTTTTCCTCTGATATCAAGGTGAGGAGAAGTTATTCAGAGTTTATTGAAGTGAGAGAACAAAGACAGAAGATGTGACAGTCACATTTTTAGTGCAGCGGAGGATTTGGAGCTGAGTTTTCAAGGACCAGACAAAAAACGCCCATAAATACTGGTCCAGGGAATAAGCATATCTCATGAACAGATGGAACAACTCAAACAAATAAGTGCAACTTATGTGTTGAAGTTTTCTTTTGTTATTTTGGTTTGCAACTTTTACCTATAAAATAATGAAGAATTCCAGGTCCCTTTTTTTCTTTTTTTTAACCCCTATTACAGTGAAAAGAAGTCTTTATTGAGTGACATTGATAATTAGCTAAGGTTGAGCTGATTCTGAATATGTGTATTTTGAAACTATTAAAAATGACAATTTTGACAAAAAAGTCTTAATGTTGGCCTCTTAAAGCTGTTCTGCAGCAATGGAAGTAAATCAAATGAGTAAATTATAGCAGTGTTGAAACAGACTGTGTTACTACACCATTTGAAGCATGATTTGGACAATATTGCACTGCAGGAAGAAGTACTGCTGTAAGAAAGGGGAGAAAAAGCAAGTAGGCTAACAAAGGAAGTCAGATGAGTTTGTCAGGGCATCATCCTTTAGCAAAATAATGAGCCACAAGAAGAACAGAATCAGCCGGTGGCTTCACATGATGAAGACTAGCAAAGTCTCCAGACCTGAACCGTGTGGAACTGGTCTGGGATGATGTTGACAGAAGGTGAAAGCAAAGCAATCTGACAGTCACACACATTAGTGGGGACTTCTGCAACCGTGTTGTTGATTCTATGATTCCTTCAAAATATCTCCATTTGTTCTACAATACATTAAGACATTAAATTATGTAAATCTCAACAACTGGAAAAATTGAGGTGCTCTACCCTGTACAGTGACAATGAAAGTGATTGTGACAAAGTGCCCAAATCAAACACTTCCTGTCCACGCTGTTCTTTATCTTTTGAAAACCCTCTTCTCATCTTACATATAAGATATTGGGAACAAAAACTGTTTGGCCATCTGCAGGAAAATTAATCTTTGGACTTTGTCTCCCGCAGAATTTAAAAAATGTGAATATTTCTCTTATGTTCTTTTCCTTACCCCTGCTTACAATATGTGGCATGACAAACAGAACTCACATAGCAGAGTGAAGACAAGTAGTATATTGGGTCTGTGTTTAAAATGCATTTTGTTATCTTCAAGTAACCTACAGTCGCAAGAAAAAATAAGTGAACCCTTTGGAATTACCATGTATATATAAATGTGTCCTTAAATGTGGTCAGATCTTCATCCAAGTTACAATTATGAACAAACACAATCTATTTTATGTATGTGAACCCCTCAGCTAATGGCATCAACAAAAGCTAACTGGAGTCAGGAGTTATCACAAACCTGGAGTCCAGTCAATGAAGCAGTGTTGTAATCTCCAAACATAAAAGTTTGTCCAAAGTCCACAAGTTTGGTGTCTACAGACTCGGCTCGTCACGCTGAGTAACATATGTCAACCCCAGCCTTCTGAGTCGCTCCCCTCCGAAGGGCCGCCATGGGTAGTTTCTCAAATGCTGCCGTGGCACACCGTTAAATTCTGCGTTTTAATAAAAAAAAAAAAAAAAGTTTTTCCAAAGTCCACAAATTTGGTGTCTACGGACTCGGCTCGTCATTCTGAGTAACATATTTCAGTCCCAACCTTCTCAGTCGCTCCCTTCCAAAGTGCCGCCATGGGTAGTCACTGATATGCTGCCGTAAAACATTGTTAAATTCTGTACCTGCCTGCCTGCCCCCTTGGTCCAGGGGTAACTCACTTGCCTGCCACACAGGAGACCCGAGTTTGAGTCCTACCTCAGCGCTTGCTTTTCAAGCTAAGTATCCGCCGGCTTAAACAACTGTGTATACTGACCTGAGTCCAGTTTGTTTTCCTGTTGAGTCCAGTTTGTTTACCTGTTTTGAGTGAAATAAAGACCTCTGCTTCTACTACTGACAGTTGTGTTTCATTTGGGTCCTGCTACTCCCCGTGACACATATGTCATCCCCAGCCTTCTGAGTTGCTCCCTTCCAAAGGGCCGCCATGGGTAGTCTCTCATATGCTGCCGTGGCACACCGTTAAATTCTGTTTTAATCTTGAAAAAAAAAGTTTGTCCAAAGTCCACAAGTTTGGTGTCTACGGACTCGGCTCGTCATTCTGAGTAACATATGTCAGCCCCAGCCTTCTCAGTCGGTCCCTTCCAAAGGGCCGCCATGGTTAGTCTCTGATATGCTGCTGTAAAAAACCATTAAATTCTGTGTTTTAATCTTGAAAAAAAAGTTTGTCCAAAGTCCAAAAATTCAGTGTCTACGGACTCGGTTCATCATGCTGAGTAACACATTGTCACAATCAACTTTGCTGCTCTCCTGCTGTGGTGGAAATTTCCACTCACACCTCATCAGCCAAATCTGCCACACCTGGTGTTTCCAGCTGAGTCTCATCACCCAGCCACTTTATAAGCAGCTCTGTTTCATTCACTAAGTGCCAGATTGTCTTCGCTTCATGCCTGACCTTCCAGCACGAACCTGTGGACTGACTTCCCAGTACCGACTCGGCTCGCCTCTGATCTTCTCTTCTCGTCTCTGCCCCGGCAAACGCTACAGCCTTCCGTTCCTGACCACAAGTTTTGCCAGTAAGTTTTCTGGTTTCTGTCTGCTTGTGGCTGTGTGTTGTTTCACCACTTCAGTTTTCCCTGTCCTGCTGGTTCATCGATCCTCTGCCTGTCCCCAACAATCCTTTGGTTGCTCCCTCTGGATTCATCTGCATCGCTACCTGTACACCGGTTCTGGACCCTTCTTATATCCTCATCAAGCCTGCCTGCCCCCTTGGTCCGGGGTAACTCACTCGCCTGCCACACAGGAGACCCAAGTTCGAGTCCCACCTTAGCGCTTGCTTTTCAAGCTAAGTATCCGCCAGCTGAAAGAACTGTGTATACTGAGCTGAGCCCAGTTTGTTTACCTGTTTTGAGTGAAATAAAGACCACTGCTTCTACTACTGAAAGTTGTGTTGCATTTGGGTCCTGCCACTCCCCGTGACACATATCATCCCCAGCCTTCTGAGTCCCTCCCTTCCGATATGGGTAGTCTCTCATATGCTGCTATGGCACACCGTTAAATTCTGTGTTTTAATCTAAAAAAAAGTAGTTCTTCCAAAGTCCTTAAATTTGGTGTCTACGGACTCGACTCGTCACACTGAGTAACATATGTCAGCCCCAGGCTTCTGAGTCGCTCCCTTCCGAAGGGCCGCCATGGGGAGTCTCTCATATGCTACCGCTGCACACCGTTTAATTCTGTGTTTTAATCTAAACCAAAATAGTTCTTCCAAAGTCCTTAAATTTGGTGTCTACGGACTCGACTCGTCACACTGAGTAACATATGTCAGCCCCAGGCTTCTGAGTCGCTCCCTTCCGAAGGGCCGCCATGGGTAGTCTCTCATATGCTACCGCTGCACACCGTTTAATTCTGTGTTTTAATCTAAAAAAAAATAGTTCTTCCAAAGTCCTTAAATTTGGTGTCTACGGACTCGACTCGTCACACTGAGTAACATATGTCAGCCCCAGGCTTCTGAGTCGCTCCCTTCCGAAGGGCCGCCATGGGTAGTCTC